TAGCTTTATTTTATTTTATTTAAAAATATATTTTATTGATTTTTTACAGAGAGGAAGGGAGAGAGAGAGAGAGAGAGAGAGAGAGCTAGAAATATCCATGAGAGAGAAACATTGATCAGCTGCCTCCTGCACACCTCCTACTGGGGATGTGCCCGCAACCCAGGTACATGCCCTTGACCGGAATCAAACCCAGGACCTTTCAGTCCGCAGGCCAACGCTCTATCCACTGAGTTAAACCGGTTTCAGCAGTAGCTTTATTTTTACTTTATTGATTTTTTAGAGAGAAGAGAGAGAAAGAGAGAGAGAAGAGAGAGAAAGAGAGAGAGAGAGAGAGAGAGAGAGAGAGAGAGATTTGTTGTTCCACGTATTTATGCATTCATTGGTTGATTCTTGTATGTGCCCTGACCAGAGATTGAACCCACAACCCTAGTGTATCCAGACAACACTGTTGCCAGGGCCCAGTTTTGGTACCTTTTGAATATGAAACCATGTGAATATATTTTCTATTAAACAAACAAACAGGCACACACACAAACTTACAAAATCAGATACAGAGAAGATGGCCTGCCAGATCCTCCTGACATTTTGAGTGAGAGTGGACTGGGGTTTTTCCTGTCAGGAAAGAACAGGCGAGAGGCAGCTAAGGATAAACCAAACCGGTTCTAAGATCCTTTCCAGAGGAGCAATAGGGCAGAGGTAACCAGGGCTGTGAGGGACATGGAACAGTGAGTCTTGAGCTCGATCAGGAATGGTTTCGTGCAGGTCAAGTTGCCCTAATCCGTCAGTCTCTTCTGAATCCTGTCCTACGATCTGCCTTTTGAATGTTTACTTTTCTCCAGGTTCCAAGCTTGCCCTATTGCCTTCTTGCTCTGTATGCTCTTCCTTGTGGATTTCGTCCATGAAAGTCATTGATTCTATGTAGGGCCAGGATCAAATGACAAAAGAGAGATACTAGAACTCAGTTTTATGGACTATGAGGGCTTAACACCTGGGTGAACTGGAATAGTGTAAAGGTAGGGGGCATCACTATACTGCATTGGTTTACTTCTGGGTTCTTGTCATTATCTCTTCATTGTGTGTGCATGACTCTAGGCTAGGCACTGTGAAAAGGTTAATAAGTTTGCTCCTGCAGAGTAGGGCTTTATAATTTGAAAAAGGCCAACACAATTACTGTCCAACGAATAAAATGGCATGAGGCCAAAGCAACAACTGAAAGAAGCATCAAAATAAGCCTGATTTAAATTTTTAAAATTTTTAGTTATAATTCTTAGAAAAGATAATGATGGGGGGGGGGGCTTATAATCTAATAAACAGAGCACCTGAGTTCATCTGAAAGATAATATTAGTTTGAAGTTCTGAAACACATATACGTGTGGGAACAGAGGGTTAAGTGTTTTTTCTTTTCTAAGTTTCATTTCTCGAGCCAGTGCACCTGCATTCTCCCTTTGATCATGAACAATGTGATGGAGGAGGTGGTTCAACTGCGGACAATATATACTGTACCCAGCACGCAAGCAGGACTGTTAAGCGTGACCTGGCTGACCCCACGCCGTCATCTCATTGCCTGACAGCCAAGAGCATGGTTGACGTCTGCTGACATCCAGGACTGCATGCAATTGCATTCTGTTCCCAACCTCACCCCAGCCCATTTTTCCTATATAATCCTGTCCCCTGCACCTCATAGTCAAGACAGGTTTTGGATGCTTGTAAACTCCCTATCTTATTGGTTCTCAATAAACGTCTTATATGATTCAACCCTGCCTTCGTTATTGCGACAGGCAGCCTAAGCCCATCTGGGGGGTTACCAGCAACAATGACACGAACCATAGGAAGTTACAGCTTTTTCTTGACGTTGACGATGGAGAAAAGGGGCAGGAGCCAAGGGATATGAGCAACTGCTAGTAACTAAAAAAAGCAAGGGATCTGAACATAGGATTGTATTTCTCTTAGGTAAATTTCGAAAAGTTAAACCACTGGATAAGAGGGTAGATATATTTTCACATCTTTTTTCCTGATGCAAATGTACCATTTTATATCCCAACCACCGATATATGAGAGCTCTGCTTACTCCACATCTTCATAAACATTTGATGCTGCCAGTCTTTTTAATTTTAGCCATATTTTGGGTGTGTTATTTTTTTTGCCCCCTTTTCTATTGGTTTTTATTGCCCTTGATTTTTAAAGAGTTTTTAATGTAGTCAAGATATTACCTCTTCATGTGTGACATACATTCTGATTTTTTTGTTAGTAACTTTGACCTTATCTTTAAAGTTTTTGTAGCTGAAAAAAAAATTTTTTTTTTTGTAAATCCTCACCTGAGGATATTTTTTCATTGATTTTTAGAGAGAGTGGAAGAGAAAGGGAAAGACAGAGAGAAACATCAATGTGAGAGAAGCACATCGATTGGTTGCCTCCTGCAGGAGCCCCGACCAGGGACCAGGCAGGGAGGAGCCTGCAACTAAGCTACATGCCCTTGACCGTAATCGAACCTGAGAACCTTGGTCTGCAGGCGAACACTCTATCCACTGAGCCAAACTGGCTAGGGCTATAGTTGAAATTTTTTATCTTCCCCCCACCCCCCATTATGTCTGGATCTCGGGTCAGAGTTATAAATCCACTTCTTACACCCAGGTTTAAAGGAATTCATCCATGTTTTCTTCTTGTAATTGTATTGTTTCATTTTTCCCACTAGATCTCTGATCCATTTGGAGTTTGCCTGTGGTCCAATTTTATTATATTTTTCAAATGGCTCTTTGGTTATCTGAACACAATTTCTATAAAGATCCATCTTTGTCCTATTTGAGATGCCACTTTTATAATATATCAAATGTACTTGAGTCTATTTCCAAACTTCCTATTTCACTCAATGAAAATTAAAGTTTTAAGATTTTTATTTTTCTAGCAATTGATTGTTTGGAAATCTGTGTGAGCCTGAAAAACAGAGTTTCAATTTACTAGGAAAGAGGAGTTAGGGGAGTATCCTTCTGCAAGCAGATGGGCTAGATCTCATTTTCAACTGGATTTAGACATCTAACACTTGCTTGCAACCTTGAGTTAACAAGAGCAAGCTTAACATAGGACCCACAATGGGATGCAGTGCTACGAATAGGCAGGGACTCTATTTGAATGCTGCATATGGACAGACTGGCCTGGGGAACTACAAAGTCCAGTCCTACTTCTGTACTATTGTTGACACTTCTAAGGTATATTTATTAGAATTTTCCTCTCCCCTCTGTCTTCTGAGTCCTCCCTCCACACCTGGGTTTTTTTTTCTTTGTTGTTTGTTTTTTGACAATCTCCCTTTGTTATGTTTCTGGGTAAGAATTAAAGAAAATCAGAGAGCAATATATAATCACCTTAACATGCAGAAAAAGACAAACCCCAGAGGTCTTAATAGCGCTTGTTTGGAAGTTAAGACAAAGTATGAGGGCACTTGTAGTTTTGTATTTATTAGTACGTTTGCATCATGTTATTTTAAAATACTGAGTGTATTTAATAAATGTTTACAGAGTGAAGAAAGTATAGAAAATATACAGTATAAAAAATGATCCCTCTGTAGCTTATAGAAAGAAATGATATATGCACACAAAAACTATAATTCAAAATAGCCTATCTCAGAACCACATCTTATATTTCTTTAATCCTCTATAGGATTTGTATAGTACCTTGACGTGATAGCTAATAAATTTCTGGAAATTGTAGTTGCCATTTGCGAATATATTTTATTTTGTGGGACATATAATGCAAAAATACCACCAGAAAAATATTTAAATATTGTTTTGTCATATTCATCATCAGGTCTCTAAAAAGTATTTAAAAATTAGTCACTGGATAGTTTTCTTTGATTAATAAGACGAAATAGAAGAGATCTGTTTTATTTCAATACAGCCGGCAGTGGAATATTATGATCACCAGGGTGCGCTATAAGCTTTGCCATCAAATTAGTCTTCCTGGCAGTAAAGCCTGAAAATCACAAAGATGTCCAGTGTTTAGAGTAGGTAATCCCTGGACCAGAAAGTTACTGAACTTTTGCCAGACTGTGGCAGGCACACATCAGAAATCACAATGTCACCTCGCTAGTTCCCATTTGAAAATTGTGAGAATACAAGCATGCTATGTTAACAGATGTCTTTGTAACAAAGATGAAACTTAAAAGAGCACATATAGAATTCATTGTTCTAATGGAGTAAAATTTGCAAAAAGTTAATGTTTAAGAGCATAGTTTGTTCTGTATTTCACAAAAGTTAGGCATAAGTAGGAAGTAGATCAAGAAATAACTATAATTAGAATTACTTTTCAAGTCAATGCAAACTTTTATTTTCTAACTTTAGTTTTAATCAGTGTTCATCTTCACTGATATTATGTTGCATTTTAATAATAATCAAACACAAATTGATATTCAATAGGTTAAAAGACAATAGACTCATATACCCCAAATTGAGATTCCTTCCCCCACCCCATTTCTCTGAAATGTTTTTAATTAGAAATAAAGGATGAAGTTTTTTAAAAAACACAAACACTTGAGGTAGTTGATTTATTTGCTGTGAATGCTTTTCTGTCAAAAGAGGTCAAGTTCTCGGAGGACCTCAAGGATTTGGACTGCGGGCTATGGTTTACTGAGCCGTTCTAGCACATCTATATATGTTACATAATATGCCTCTATTATAGCAGTTATTGCTGTGTATTGTAATAGGATTTGCATGTTTGCTAATCCATTGTGAAACCCTTAAGAAGAGGGACTACCTTTATTCATATTTGTTTTCCCAGTGTCCAGCAGAGTAGTTGGCATAGAAAGTTTGTTTAGTAGATTACATACTATTCAAGTAGAAACTGGTTAGACTGATGAAAAATTTAAAAACAGGACTGGTTGCTGGTTTGTGAAAGCACTGGAGAACCAGTCCTTTATTGAGTTTCATGTTTCAAAGGACTGTGTGATTATTTTAAACAACGTTATTGAGATATAAGTTACATACCATACAATCCACCCATTTCCAATGTACAATTCTTGCCCTAGCCACTTTGACTCAGTGGCTAGACTGTTGGCCTGCGGACTGAAGGGTCCCGGGTTCGATTCAGGTCAAAGGCATATGCCGGGGTTACGGGCTTGATTCCTAGTAGAGGGCGTGCAGGAGGCAGCCAATCCATAATTCTCTCTCGTCGTTAATGTTTCTATCTCTCCCTTTCCCTTCCTCTCTGAAATAAATAACAATATATTTTTTAAAAAGAGAGAGATAAGTCTCAGTAGAAGATATTTCCCAGACTACCTTAGTAAGCTCAGAGCAACTAAAGAAAACCACAGCCCCTGACTTTTCGTTTTATACTTACAAAGCATATTACATAGTCATTGGGGCCATTTCTTACAGTTATTTGAAAGTAAATATAAATAAAAATCACACCTGAACATACTATTTATTACATCGAAATATCACTGTATGCCTAGTAGACAGACACTGCACGTGGCTATGAGGCTTTAAAAATAAAATGTTCAATTCTGAGATTTTTAAAATTAAGCTATAATTGACATGCAACATCCTAATATATTAGTTTCAGATGTACATGAGATTTGCTTTCAAAGAGAGAGATAGAAAGATCTAAAAATGGGCGGAAGAAGCCACGAATGGAGGAGAAGGGAAAGGAGAAAGGAATTTTCCAGTGTGTCCTTTATTCTGTGCTGGGAGAAAAGCAGTGTTGAAAGGTGCTTTGTGTGCTGTGTTCAAACTCAGTATAAACCTGAACTTTGCTCATTACCCTTGAATGTGCTCTAAGACTGATCCCAGGATCAGAGTATCATCCTTTCAGACTCAATTATCTAGGGCACACATCCCTAGTTTGAATCATCCCCTTTTTGGTGTGCAAATCTTACTTTATTATCAATGCTGCGTGACAAATTGCTCCCAAAACCTAATGCTTAAAGCAACAGTAAGCATTTGTTTATATTATCACATAGTTTCTGTAGGTCTGGATTTTGGGAGTGGCTTAGGTGGGTGATTCTGGCTCAGGGTTTCTTTCACACGGTGGCAGTCGAGATGCCAGTTGGGCCTGCAGTCATCTGCCGGCTTGGCCAGGGTCGGAGGGTTTACTAACATGGCTGGCAAAATGGTCGGATTAATCGGTTCAAGGCCTGAGTTCCTTGCCGGTGGCCCACTACAAGGGGCTGCTTGAGTGTCCTCATGTTATGGCAACTGACTTCTCTCTAAGTAAGTGATCCAAGAGAGCATGAAGTGGAAGCTGCAAAGTCTTTTATGACCTAGCCTTGGAGTTTACACATCATAATTTGTGAAAAAACATACTGGTTACACAGGTCAGCCCAATTCATTATGGGAAGGACTATTGTGTCCCAGGAGGCAAGGTTCATATGTGAATCATGTTATTTAATCCAGATTTCTTTGAAACCACAACCAGACACACAATATGGATATTTGATTGAAGAAATGTGGTTGCTATTATTCACCCTGCCATGCTTTATTTTGCTTACATTAATGACCCATTAATATACTTAAGAAAAAAAAGTAAATTTGCTTTGTCAGCCATTGAAATTATCCTGAATTCCAGTACCAGCTCTTGAATAAACAGTACCTTTCCATTTAGCCTAAAAGAATATATCTTGGAGGCCTGGGAAGCTTTTCTCCTTGGCCAGTCGGTCCAATATCCCAGGATTCCTACTTCAGTGGCATTAAGTTTCACTGAATGTTCATCCTTACACTCTCTATCCTGAGATACACTGTTGCCCTATTCTCAAGATACTAATCACAGAACACTTCCCTCTGCACTGTACTTTTTAAGACTCTCTCGATATGTAGCTACTGGACTGCTCTCTCACATACTCTTATCCGTCATGGATTTGCATATGGGAGTTGGCCAGAATAATCATCTTTCCATCATTTGGAGAATCTAGCTGTACCTGCTGACTCATTTAAAAGAAACAATAATAGTCCTGTGAGTAAATTCATTAAAAGCCTTACCTATGATAGCAGTGATATATCTGGGTAGCTTGAAGAGGATACAACGTATTTGCTAAGTGAGTGAAAAATATTCTCTTCAAATAGAGAATAGCTGTTTGAAATATTGCTAGGCATAATGTCACTGAATCGGGACTCCTCCCCTCCTTCCAAACTTCTTTAATTTAAGGAAAAGTATTTACAGAAACTCTAATCCTTTCCAATTCAAATTATTTGCCCAGGCAATACTCAGAAGTGAATTATATTCTGTTAGACAAAGGAATGGAAAAGCAACTTGTGGTTTCAATCAGTGGGGGGGAGGAGGGGGAAACAACAATTTGCCAACTTTTTAAAGTTTGAATAGAACAAGAGGAGCTGCATCATCAATAGCTTTTAATGTACATTTTGTCCTGCTTTTTATCCAAGGATCTAGACATGTCAGACAGTAGAGGTGCCTGCTGTTTTTAAAGAATGCTAAGAGACTGTGGCATTTCCTGAACAAGGAGAAACAGATCCTGTAAACCATTGTGAGACTGAATATAGGATTCATCTTTAACCCTTTTATATTTTTTCCTCAGTGTTAAATTTGTCTGCATGCTCAAACCCTTTTCTATTCCTAGTTGGCTTTCATCATAATGTCACTTGATTGAAGAAGGGGATTTAAAGTAAAATGCAGCTCAAAATTCACTGCATCGTTTCAGTCCATGGTAGACTCCTGGGAGTCACTGTGATGATTAAAAAACAAAACAAGCCCTAGCCGGTTTGGCTAAGTGGGTAGAGCGTCGACCTGTGGACCAAAGGGTCCCAGGTTCGATTCCGGTCAAGGGCACATGCCCGGGTTGCGGGCTCGGTCCCCAGTGGGGAGCGTGCAGGAGGCAGCCGATCAATGATTCTCTCTCATCATTGATGTTTCTATCTCTCCCTCTTCCATCCTCTCTGAAATTAATAAAAAAATATTTAAAAAAAACCCCAAAACCCAAAACAACCAAAAATCATTGGGCGCGGGAGGTCTAAGAGACCTGAGCTTTGGTTCTGCCACGAATTACTTTTCTGGTCTTGGGAAAGCTGATTAATCTCTTTGGGTAACTTGGTGGGTGAAATTGGGGAAGGGGTTTCATCTTAAGGTTTCCTCTTCAAAGAGCTCGACACACCACGAAATACCAATGCATCGCACACAGCCTCACTGCTCGGCCCTCTTCACTCTTCTTTAAAAGTCTTCGAGGGACTCCCTGGAATCCTGCAACTGGTCCCCAGGGCGCTGCTCACTGACCCTTTGGCTGGTGGTGTCTCGAAAAGGGAATGAGATCTCGTTCCTCGTGGGTTGTGCAAACCGTAAGGATGCTCCGGGCTCCGGGCTGGCACTCCTTGCCCGGTTCTCGGGCTCCTTCCCTCCTTGTACCTTACGCCTTTCCCCGGTACCCACCGGTGATTCGTTTCGCGATTCTGGGGACAGCGTCCAACTGCCAGATCCTGGCCGCTCTGGCTCTGAGACAGCGGCATGGCAAGGCCTCCGGCTTGGGGCCCTCCTTCCTTGGAGAATGCAAACTCGTAACGTGACAAAACACTTCCGATTTTCTTCCCAAAAGCCCAACTCTAGGCTCACGCATTTATTAGAACCACCGCGCAGGTTGTAGGACTCCACTGTGCGCCAGTCGCTCGTCTCCGACGCCCCACTTCTCGGCTCCAGCCGGCCGGGAGCAGCGGCGAAGGCTGGAACTACGAGCCCCAGAATTCCCCGCGCAAGCGCGCTGCGATTGTGATGCTCCCTTCCCGGTAACTCGCCCTCTCAGGCAAACCTGAAGGTAGCGGCAATTCTCCGGTGGGGGGCGGGACGCTCTCGGCCCGACGCTCCGCCCCCTTCCTGATAGGCAATGGGAACAGCCAACCGACGTGGTGGGTTCGTGCCGCGCTCTCCAATCAGCACCTGCGGCGGAGAGGTGGGCGTGCGCCCTGGCAGGGCAGGTGGGCTAGGCTGTGCCGGGTTGCGAAGGGGGAGTATAACGTCGGGTCGGGTCAGCGGGCGCTGCAGTAGTCGCCGCAGCGGCGATGGGAGC